GGGAGAAATTGTCCGCCATTCTCAACATACTACTAAAAGCTTAAGCCTCATTTATCTTTCTAAGGAACTTAGCTCTTCTGAAAGTAGTCGATTGGCAACTGTTAACATATATACACCTTGCAAATATTGATATTAAATTTATGGATACAGCGTTCTATACAAATCTATAAGCCAATATAGCTAACACTAGTGTTAACCGTTTATCATATATTCTTTCTTACTTAAATACATTTTTTGTTGCTTTAAAGTCAAAAGTTTTTGTGTGAGTGCGAATGAGAGTTACTCTCCATTATGAAGACCTTAAAATGTTTGGTCGGTGAAGATAGGAATGCCATATCCATATGTTTAATATTAATAGTTGCAAACTACAGTAGATGAGTCACAGGTGAATCATATATTCATATGCAACCAAAACAATTAAATGAAATGGAATTCAACCTCTACAGTAATTCCTAAATAAATGATTTTAGTAAATAGTTGTTTGATTGTACCATGTAGTTTCAATATTTATTAATGTAATTGATATTTTTATAGATAAAAAATACATGATTTGCTTTAAATGTATAGGTATTACCATGGAATCTAGGATAAGATAGCTACAAAATAAACTACATATATAATTTTTTGAAAAATGCCACCCATTTAAAATATTTTTTTAATAATGCTTAAAAATGTTGTCGCCTAGTGTTTACATGGTTAATTTTTAACTTAYACTAGAATATTTTAAGAATATACATACTATAAATTGGGCGACGACGGCTCATAATGCAATAACATGGAATACAGATACAAATAACACAACATATCAATAACAGCCCAACAATTAACATCAGAACTATTAACAGGTCTGGCATGAATTTTAGAATTCTGAAAAACAGAAAATAAATAAATTTATATTTATAAAAATTATTGTTCTCATTGAGTTAATGATGTGGTACGGTTTTCATATGTTGACCAGTTATAATATACTGMTTTAAATATTATATCTGTTCTGTGGCAGAGGAGTCGCAGCTTGAAAACCGTACCTTAATAAAAATAAATTATGAAGAAAAATTATTTACAAATGTCGTAAATGTTCAGCACCATTGCAGCAATCGACACTATCAAACTTATCATAGCAACAAAATTTTGCATCTTGATCTGATTCAGATGAAGGGCAAGTCATTAAACGTTCTCTTATAATAGTTCCATTATATGTTTTCTTTACTGTACAGTTTTCACCTGTAATCAGTAATACATTTTTATTTAATACATAATTATAAATGACATGTGGAAGTCGGTAGATTCTAATAGCTCGAAAGCTACTTACTCTGAACTAATGTGACCAATATTATTAGATATGCGACTGACACAATCCTTTTAACAGTGTTCATAATGAAGACGCGAGTGCAAAGGTTAACACTAATTGTATTTGATAATTAAGTCACTCGAGTTAGATAACTAATGAYGGTGATTAGTTATAAGACATAAAAGAACAACAAAAAACATTCATGTCTTATTAGAAAACACTAATATTAATAATGACAATTATGAGCAACAATGCAGTTCAAGACAACGTCGGGACGATCATTTGGGCATACTGATAAGTGAATTGTATTACTGACGGGCGACGGGCGACGGCTATTCAGCCAGAATGATCGTGATGCATAAAAAAGTAAAAACATACAATAAACATTAAACAGATCTAAACCTATCCGGTTCCAGTATTCACKACAGCTTGCTATATAGTATATACAAATACATATATATAGTACCTACCTATTGTAATCTTTTTCAATGATTATTATGTTTGCCGTTTGGTGTGTTCGGAGTTTGGACTGTTTTGTGTGATATTTRTGGGCGGAGAAATCAGGGACGATGAAACGCAAAGAGGTTGTACGTGCGATAAATACAATTMTCTTTGAAATGTCATTTTGACCTTGTGAGTTGTGATAAGATGTTTCAAATTGACAATTWATGTTCACGGTGGTCGGTGATACGGCTTTGAAAATTTGGAAGGGTACTTGAATATAATTATTATTTATTATACTTTAAATGTTTAAATTTGATTATTGATTTTTATTTGTTRGTTTGTTACAGTTTGATTTTTGAATTTTTAAATTCAGTTTATCGAAAGCCATATCATTTGTACTTACAATATAGTTGGCAATATCKGGTTAAGGTGAATACTCTGGTTTTCACGCACCAAGCTCAAAGTCCGAAGGTGAGATTAATGATTACTGATTAGTTCAGTTGAAGCTRGGACATCTTCCGAGCATTAATCGTGAATTCGTATAAAGGTTTTATTCTACACAATAGCAATAAGCAATATTCAACATGAATTTGAAGTTCTGTGCCAATCTATCTTTCATGTATCAAGAAGCGAATTGCCTTTTGGAGAGGTACAGTTTAGCGGCTAAATCGGGATTTGCTTCTGTCGAATGTGCATTTCCTTATTCAGATACTTTAGAAAAAGTAGTAAAGGCAAAAACAGATGCTAATGTACAACAAATTTTAATTAACRCACCAAAAGGTGAAGCCCATGAACTAGGGTTTGCAGCAATTCCAAGTATGGAGGATAGATTTCGTTCATCTATTGACTTAGCTGTATCTTATGCGAATGCATTGAACTGTTCCAAAATTCATGTGATGGCTGGCATAGTTGCTCAACCAACAGAAGCCAATCACGAGGCTTATGAAAAAAATTTAACTTACGCAGCACAAGTATTTGAAACTAAAGGCATTATTGGTTTAATTGAGCCAATTAATAAGTATTCGGCTCCAGGGTATTATTTAAATTCATATGAACGAGCAATTGATGTTCTGAACAAAATTAATAGCCCTAATTTGAAGCTACAGTTGGATATATTCCATTTACAACAGATCAAAGGGGACCTAACAAATAATATTAAAAGTTTGTTACCTCATGTTGGGCATATTCAATTGGCTCAAGTTCCAGCACGTAACGAACCAAATACATCAGGTGAAATAAATTATAGTTATATTTTTCAATTATTAGAAGAACTTAACTATAATGAATGGATTGGTTTGGAATATAACCCTAAAGGTGATACTGACAAAGGCTTATCGTGGTTAAAGGATATAAAAAGAACTGTAACATTTTAATGAGAAATATTTAAAAAAGTATATTTTAACTTACAAGCATTTAAAAAATAAGATACAACACATTTCAATTTATTCTAAGATCCAGAGCATATTTACACCAGTCTTCCCAAGGTTGACACTTTCCAACAATCCATTTTCAGTTGTTTTGATGTGATGTAGGAACAATAAAACCGTATAGAAAAAATTATTACGACCCTGAAACAATATCAAAATATATGGATGTTCTATGTTTTTACTTTTTATTTTATTTATTGTTGTTGCAAATTCTATTGCTATCAGATTAATTACTAAGCCCAAACTTATGTACATTAATAATATATTACATTACCTTTGGAAAGTTGTATGTTTCTTTACCAATTTTTAAACTATAATGAGGTGGAATATTTGATTGTTGAAAAATGACCACTTGCTTATTATCAGATTTTAATTTTTCTGGATATTTAATCAGATGTTGAACAGAAAATGGGTTTTTTCCCTTAAGACGTGTTAATGGAGATAACTGAGAATCTAAGTATGTAGCTAATAAATGCATTACTAACTAAAAAACAAAGAAAATAGTTATATAKAATTATAGAAACTTAACCATTGTGAATAACACATTTGAATAAAATAAATAGTCCTTACAACTGCATCAGATGGTAATTCACTATTCCATTCTTTTCCTTTAAATGTTCCACCAGAATTCCATCGATATTCAGTTAAACAAGAACCTCTGGCCAATTCTGAAACAAAAATTAAACTCTTGATTACAAATATTTAAGTATCATGGGAAGGCCCTATCCTAAAAAAATCATTTGGAAATATCCCATCGCATAATTTATTATAATGAATTGAAGAAAATGTAATTTACCTTAATGTTCATTGAAATTAATTGAAAAAAATCACTTATAAATAACTCTCCATTAAACTGATGGTGACAAGATAATGTCTCTGGWATTTTTTTTAACTTATCTACATAAGCGTACAACAGTATGTTATAAAATTTAAGTACCAAAATATATTTTTATCTACTGATGATTATATATTTATTTGCTGCTTTTATACAATATTTTGTATGATATTACATGGAAATCACTAAAGCATATATAWAAGTAATTTATTTTATGAATATTAAAGTATTCAAATGATAGACAGTTTAAACAAAGAAACATAAATTATGAGATTAAATGCAAGTATAAAAAACGATAAAATGAAATTTTTTTTAGGGAACACAATAACATACAAGCATCTACTATTAATTATTTGTTTACCTCTTATACGTTGAACTACATACTCTTGATTTGGGGATACTTCAAAGTATGGAATAATATATAGTAAACTAGGTATAGTTTGAGCGACCTGAATTGTATGTGCAGTTTTTTTTAATCTTTCTAAACCAACATTTCCTATTGATACATCTACAAATCCTTGGTTGTATAAAGCTTGATCAACATTTTCAATTTCTTTTACCAATCGAGAAATAATAGTTTGAGAAATCCACTAAGAAAATCCAATATTTTATTAAAACTCAATTAAATTAATTTTAAGTAAAAATTCTACTTACTGTTCTCAAATTAACAGACCATCTTTCAACTTTATTATTGTCAACTTTAAATTTACGCCATACTTCTGAAGCCATAGCTACAGTGGAAGTACTTTCATTCAGTTCAGATTTTGATTGTTCAGCTAATATTAAAAAAAATTATATGTGAAGTCTTGAAATAATCTGTATTTTACAAACTTACGTGATGAAGCTACTTGGTAAATAGAATTTTGAAGCATTGAAGAAATAGATKTATTTGAACAACCTGAACGTTCCCACAAAGACATGCTCCGTTGTTCAGAATCACGTTCTAGAGGTATAATTTAATCAATATAAATTTATTGTTTTCAAGAAATAACTATAATGAAATAATTATCTAAAAATATATGTAATTCAATTCTGTATTCTCRATAAATTTAATTATTTAAGGCTTGTTACATATAGGCACATATACATTTATATTACTTATGACATCAGTGTCACGAGTGCAAAATAATATAAATGTCAACAATCCACATATGATCTTGTGAAATAGTAAACAAACTTAAATGTTTAGTTAGTAACAAAAATTAGTAATTACATAACTGACTGATCCACAAGTCATGCATTATAATAAAATATTACCGGTGAAAGAAAAGCTATTTTTGTTGTCATAGTCTTTAAGATATTGTTCCAAGGCAGAAATATCTTCTATAGTTTCATCATTTGTACTAGTCATATACTTAGTAGCACTTCTATTTTGTTTCTCTGGTCCAAAGTTGTCTGTTAATAATATAAATAATAAATAATAAAAATAATTTGACAATTAGTAGTTTAAAATGTATTTTTMAATAAATTAAAAATATTTAGTATTATGGATACTCTGTCCAATGAAAGTTTTACAGATAAATTTGAATAAACAAACAAACCGATCTGTCAAGTTAATTTAAATTAAAAATGTAATATATATCAATTACATTTATAGGTAAAATATACTAATGATCCAAAAATGTGAAAAGTGTATTATAATAATTATATTACAGCGTTTACCAGACAACATGCATTTTAAATTATGCGTGAAATAGTTTTTTGTTTWTACATTCTAAACTTAATTAACATTATTAAAATATTCATTTTTAATAATACTCATCTTTATAAAACTAAAAATACTTGTATGGTTCAATAATAATAAATKATTAAAATTATATTGTTTGTTCTTGAAATAATAACTTACCAGGTGAAACATGAAACTGTTGGTTGCTCCATTTATTAGATATCCAGTTAATTGGTGTACTTGTGGTCGCAGGAGGTGTTATTATACTTGATGAAGTATCTGGTGATTTCACTTTTATATAAGCTAAAATAAACAAGACCATATGTTTAAACTATTGTATAATATAAATTTAGTTACCTATATGCTTACAATTGGAAAAGCCGAGTGTCTGGAAGTGTTCCGGTGCCAAGTGTAAGGTATTAGTGGTTACCCATAATTTTGTAAGAGACAATACATGATATAAAAGACTTAACAATACAACTATTGATGATACTGATTCAACAAATCTCCACCAAGGAGTATACCAAGAATATGGCAATGCCAATCTTGAAAAATAATAACACATYCAATTATTACACTTTAATACTTAATATCTTTAAGAAAAATATATWAGTATTCATGTAGTATTTAGTCCATAAAAATAACACTCATTTTAAAAATACAAAAACAATGAAAAATGTAATCCTTATGAAGTATAAATTAATAACTTACARATCATAAGTCAGCATGGATAATACTAGGACATTTACAGTACCCCAAATAAAATGTTGCTTCATTCGGTTAACAGTAATCGTTAGCTGAATAGCGTCTTTCACTAAATCCTTTTTAAGTGATTTTTTTGATTGAAATTCTGGTGGAGTCCTATTAATCAAATTATGTGAATGTATGACAATACAACAATGAATTTTTWAATAGGTACATACCTCATGATTAAAATTCGTTATTAAGTAATTTTAGGCACTTTATCAATAAATAATATTTGTATAATATAATAAGCTGATTATAAATGATTAAACATAATATCGCTAATT